TTACTGCATGTATATTGGACGTTTGAATTGTCAACATTAATAACATCCTTGATTTTGACTTGCTAGAGTTTCAATCTCTGCTATCTCCTTTGGGCAACTTTTTGTCAAAACTTCTGAACCGTTTTCTGTCACTAAGATATCATCTTCTATACGAATACCTAATCCATGAAAGTGTGACGGTGCATGAAGATTTTTTGGGCTTATATATATACCTAATACAAAGAGAAATATGCATAAGCTATTTTACAAACTGTTCTTCAAAGTGTATGTCATAAATCATACCAGGTTCTATGGTTATTATCATTCCAGGTTGTATCCTTATGCTTCTAGATATTTTCCCTGTATCATGCACGTCCATTCCTAGATAATGACTGACATGATGCGGACAATATGTGTACGCGGCTGTTAATAACTTCTCTTCGTCTATGTTCTTCGGTATCAAATTAATTTCTTGTAATCTTTTGCCCAGAAGAAAGCACATATGACGAAATACATTGTCCAACGATGGCATATTTTTCAGGGTCTCTATTAAATTTTTTTGCACATCGAGCACTATTTCGTAAAGGACTCTTTGCTCTGGTGAAAATTTTCCGCTAATCGGCCATGTTCTCGTTATATCGGATGAATAACCATGAGCCTGCAAGCCTGCAAGTAAATAAAGTTCAAAACATAAGTTTTTAATAAGTTTTTCTATGGTCATAATTCTATATATATTTGTACGAAGATTAAAACCTTCCTGCCCGCTGCTACAACAGGAGGATACGCCAAATGCTCAGCTCCGCGCATACGACATTCGTAATCTACAGTAGCGAATAATTGATGTTCACTCATCTCTGGTTTTGAAGATTGAATTGTTTTTATAATAGCGTCGGAAGCTATTTGACAGCTTTCGCGCATCAAATTGATTTCGCAAGCGCTCTTGATCAAGCGAATTTGATGAAACAAAGTCTTGGGAGAAGCAAATATTTCATTGTCCGTCAGTTTAATCAATTGGCATAGCTTCTTATGTAAAATCGGTTGAATAACATCAGCGTGATCATACCATATAATGCTTTTCTTATCCTCCTGAATGAGTGAAGACATAAACTGTTCAAATTTTGTAATCGGCAAAGCATGATCCATTCCAAATATTTCAGCTGCTGTTTCAACGCTAGTTCTCGGACCGTCCCATAATTCTGAATGTTCGTCTTTTGGTCTCACAAATAAAGTGAACGACGACTTATCTTCCTTGCATGTGAGCACTAAGATACTATCTGGTTCTTGGCATCCAGAGAAATACAGAAAGTCTGTATTTTGTCGAAAGATATATGGTATTTTGTCGGACATGTAGATTTTAGACGACGCAGGTATGATGAGAATTTGTTGCTTATGTATATTCTTAGTATGCATTGCTAGCGTAATGCTTTCTACTAACTTGGAACGTCTTCTCTCAAGCTCCTGAAGCGATATACCTGGCAGTACTTCTCCATATTTTATTAAGTGAGGATGCGTTATTGATGTAGGTTGTCCACACATGGCATGTGGATAAGCATTTCGTGTGCATTCTCGTTGCGTTGGATCGCTCTTAACTGTCGTTTCTGCTGAGAAATGGGCTAATAACTGATAACCTGAAATTAGAATAACTATGCTGAACACTGATCGTTTCTTTTTGTTGTAAAAGTACAAAATAGATGCTATAAAATTTACTGCTATTCTATGTAACTACGTTAACAAGAAACTTTATTTCACATTAAATTATTATGAAAATATAGAGATAAATGCACTTCTCACCAAATTTACTTGGATTATATCTTAGTGAACGCTTTACGCTATTAAACATATTTTTCTTCAAATATTTATAGCGTAAAGATGATTGATGCTTATTGTAGCTTCGTATTTTATTTATTTGTAATAGATACTATAATATTTTACAACATTTGATATAGAACAATGTAGAACATAACCTATAAAGCATCTTTAAGCCGAATTTGCAGCCACATACATACACTCACACACAAGAAATTACCCAATCACGTCAGCTTACATAAAAGGTGCCGCGTTTTTCATAAATAATAGTTTTTTTAAACAAAAATGGCATTTAAAAAAATATATCGGTTAATAATATAAATAAAAAATATATATAAACTAATAATAAATTAAAACAAAATATGTCTTTCTCTCTCTCTCTTTTCTTTCTCTGTTATTCATGCAACTCACACGACCAACGCCAATATATACTTGACAAGAGGACGAGTGTATGTGTGTGTGTAATGTCATTTGCAATCAATACGTGCATGTCGTACATACGGTATGCACCGATTCGCAATTTTAAATATATATGAAAATGCGTAGAATGTAAATAGAATCGAATGGTATTATTTGACAAGTAGATTCGAAATATTGCGATGAATTAGTAAACGTGCAAAAACCAACCACAAAGTGTGGCAGAACTTACAGGTACATAGTTTTCGACAGGTCGATTCATCGCGTCGAGATTGGATGAGACATTAGAGGACGGGATAGATGGAAAGGGCAAAAACTCTGAAAGAAACATTGCAAACTGTGCTGATTGCTAACCTCCCCTTCTTCAAAAACAAGTTCCACATTCAAAAATACATTTAGCAATCTCGAAAACTCGCGCAAAGTACGTCTTCTCTCTCTCTTTATCTTTCTTTTTGTTTGTATCAACATGACCTTAAGCTGAAAGTTCAATTCTAGATATTTATTTATTTATCAACCGTGAGAGACGTTTTCTATTTATTGATCTGTCAAAAGATAGATTAATAGCTGTCATGCAATTGCATCAAAGCAAGAATGGAAAACAATTATTTGAAAGGAAGCGAAACTATTAGTCTTAATTGCATTTCATGCAATTGTTTATATTTTTATTTCTAAGCAATCTGTTTATATTTTTACTTCTAAGAAATTAGACTGTACATCGGAGAAAGGTCTACATAAATTATAGACAAAATGAGTAGCCAATTAAACATAACAGTTAGACCCGAAGTGAGATTGGATGCCAAGTGGTTGAAAACTGATCTGCAACGATTTCTTTATCGGGATGGATTGGCTGAATTGTGGAATGAAATGGTGCGAGATGGTGAAATTGTTGGTTCTTTCAGCGATGGTTTGATCAATGCTGCAGGAATTGTAGCGAAGAAGGGTATGAATATAAAAATTAATTGTGATGAAATGTAAAATTCTTTTTACATTTATATCATCTTCTCTCCTTATGCTATGTCAAACTTATTTAATCTTCATATATATAATACTTCATATGTTATAAACATAAATATTTATAAAAGAGATATCAATGCATGGCTCGCGATATTCACAAAAGAGATAAAGATTTGAAAATATAAATGAAAAGAACAACTAATATAATTATAATTATATATCAATAAATCCTTTTGAATAATGTGTTTGATTAACTTTTTTTATATGTTTTTTAGGTGAGAATGGGCATTATTATTGTGGTATGAGAGTATTATCTTGTCTCTGCTGTGATGGAATTTGTGGTCCACAACATGGATGTAATTGCACTCCATGTCAGAAATTGGATGATGAAGAAACTGCAAGAACAGCAGCAATGGTTGAAAGGGCTACATCTGCCCGGCGGATAATGGATTCATGGCTTTGGGCACCACAACCATGTAAATATGTTTTTATATTATATATATATATATATTGAAAAAAAACTTTTTCATATTTTATTTTGAACTTATTCATACCTTTTGAATAATGTGTTTGATTAACTTTTTTTATATGTTTTTTAGGTGAGAATGGGCATTATTATTGTGGTATGAGAGTATTATCTTGTCTCTGCTGTGATGGAATTTGTGGTCCACAACATGGATGTAATTGCACTCCATGTCAGAAATTGGATGATGAAGAAACTGCAAGAACAGCAGCAATGGTTGAAAGGGCTACATCTGCCCGGCGGATAATGGATTCATGGCTTTGGGCACCACAACCATGTAAATATGTTTTTATATTATATATATATATATTGAAAAAAAACTTTTTCATATTTTATTTTGAACTTATTCATATTTTATTTAAAAATTATTATTTAAATATCTAAGCTTTCATTAAAAAGATTTTTTAATGGATATTATGTTTATATTTCTTTGTTAGATTTGAATTGATATTAACGTTTTCAAATCTTTTCTTTAGCGTTAACAGATTTAAAAGGATGCATCCATTTATCGATAAAGGAACAACGCAAGCTATGTTGCGAAGTCGCAAATAGCACATTATCGGCGACGCGTTTGAGACAACGGCTAATAGTCGCCAGAAGATATTTTACAGCTTTATCTCGACATAAGCCACAAGAAATCAAAGACACCGTGAATATACCAAAGTCTATTGGAAAATTACAAAAAACGTACAGTATAAAAAATATATTAGATATATAACATACATAATTATATAAGTAATATAATTATATTGTGCAAACTCCTATTACATACAGCACAGGCCAAATTTCCTAAGTGATTTGATTTGTTTTCTTGTGCACGCAGAGTATCGATATACAATTGTATCTTGATCCTCTTCAGAGTACGTTATTTTTTGTGTTCTGTTTAAAATAAAATATGAATTGTTTCTACAAATGCTCAACATTTTGTAAACTTTTGCAGACCAAGACCTAACGAAAAGGCAACCTTGGGATTAGCGCGCGTTGGTTCACGCGCGGCTCTAAATTTCTCGTTCGCGTATTTAAGACGAGCTTGGAGATCTGGGGAAGACGTCGAATTTTGTAGCGAATTATTGACCGAATCATTGGAGGCATTGCAATCGTTACCCGAGGCGACTCTTTTCGATGAAAGTAACGTTTCTCAAGTTTGGTTGGAAGTCGTAGAAAGATCAGCCAAATTTTTGAGACAAGTTGTGACAGGGTATGCTTTATCAATTTATAATTTCAATCATATATGTAATATGTAATTTTAATAGTAATATAATTACTATTTAGTTATTTAGTTAGTTATTATTAGTTGTAATATAATTTTAATGTATTATAAAAAGAGAGAATAATATATATTTTAATCATTATATGTAATATAATAGAATATTATATTTAATATTATTATATATAATGTAACATCACATATTTTTCATTTTTAGAGAAGTAACTACTGGACGATCGTGGCGACCAGTGCCACTGTCAGATCAACATACAGCTCTTTGTTTGTTATTGGAACTGGTCGCACAAAGGGCCACTCTTTCTAGTTTATTGGACTCTGTGGTTTTATTGCTTCATCTCAGTGGTAAACATAAAAATCAAGACAATCGAGTCATGCCACCTGGAAGCACGGCACCACTTGTCCCCCTGTTACGACGATTGAATATGATACCAGCGACAAAATCTCGCAGACATCTCGACGGAAACATTACACCGGGACCATGCGAAGTGCTACTTAAATATCTACGACTGCCGGACGACGATGCCGTGTCTGTCGATTTGAGAAAAGCCGCAGTTATTATTATGTGTAATTTAAGCAGATTAGCCGCTCCTCTCTTACCACCAGTTAATACCGAGTATGGATTCCCGAGGAGCGGAAACTGCAGGCAAACGTTTCAGGAGGTATTGGCTTGGGGTGGTGTAAAGTTTGGAAATGGCTCTACTCCTTTTTATTGTGACGCAATCGCAGAGTTGGGCATAAAACAGTTATGTTGCACCGAGCGAGCGCTGATGATATTATCATTAAATGGCAATGTTTACAATATGTATCATGGATCCGAGATTCAATATCCGCAGAGAGTACATGGTTTCTCCGATAAGCCGGTCACGATGATCGCGTCTCATTCGGACGGCAAGCACCATTTAGCGTTAACACAAGACGGCTGCGTGTATTCTTGGGGCAACGGAGATGGAGGTAGGCTTGGACACGGCGATACCGTCTCATACGACGAACCAAAATTGATCGAGGCGCTTTTAGAGAAGAATATCGTGTTCATAGCATGTGGTAGCACATATTCAGCGGCATTAAGTGTCAGCGGTGAATTATACACCTGGGGAAGAGGAAATTACGGTAGATTGGGTCACGGCAATTTCGACGACGTTATGATCCCGACTCTAGTGACAACGTTGAAGGGTCACACGGTTGTGCACGTGGCCTGCGGTAGCGGTGACTCTCAGACCTTATGCGTCACTGCGTCCGGCATAGTCTTCTCTTGGGGTGATGGTGATTACGGGAAGCTTGGTAGAGGAGGCACGGACGGATCCAAGACGCCGAAGATCGTCGATAAGCTGCTGGATATCAACGTGGTCAAGGTGTTTTGCGGTAGTCAATTTTCAGCAGCGTTGACAGTCCATGGTGAAGTGTACACATGGGGAAAGGGTGATACGTATCGTTTAGGCCACGGCAGCGAAGAGCACGTGAGATATCCCAAAATCATCGAATCGTTGAGAGATAAGAAAATCAAAGAGTTGTCTGTGGGCGCAACGCATATATTAGCGCTGACAGAAGATCGGTTTGTTTACGGATGGGGTAGAAACGATTATGGTCAAATCGATGCCACGTTAGGTTCCGTTATTTCCGAACCTACTTTATGTCCGACATTATCCTCAAAGACTGTCATCGGTTTGGCGTCAGGTCCGACCCAGAGCTTCGCGTGGTGCATGTCGGCATGGTCGGGTGGAGCTAGCAGAGTGGCTTTTGTCGTTGATATATGCGAAGAGACCTTTCAACTGCTCGATACGCTTCTGGCTAAATCTTGCGAGGGTTTACCAGGAATACGACCGCCTACGCAAGATCGTGAATGTCTAGCTGTAGCTACGCTGAATTTGCTCCGATTACAGTTACATACGATGTTGACGCATAATATCGACAGTAAATCTGTCGGACTCGCTGCAAGTAGTCCCTTGTTAAATTCCCTGAAGCAACGTTGTGTTAATCTAGCGAGTGCGACTGGGATATTAGCGACGATACAGGAAGCAGCACAAGCAGTTCTACAAACAGGTTGGAGCATACTGCTGCCAACAGCTAACGAGCGTGCGAAAACACTATCCAGTTTTCTACCAAATACATCGAACAACATGGAACAATCGAGTTCAATAAATATATACATAAATAGTGGACAGCGGTTTATGGCTGATTTACTGGTATCCAGCCTAATGGTGGATGGTGGATTGGAACTAGCGTTGAAAGCTGCAATTAAGGCGGAAATAGCAGACATGCCAGATGATAAGGACTTTCTCGATATAAGTATATCGTCGAACATCGTCAAAGTGAAGACTGATACGAGACAGGGAATGAAAGACGGTTTCAATTCCGGAAAGAATATCACGACCATCTCATTGCTTCAACTTATTCAACAGTTAATTAAAAATGGTACATGCATTACGCAATCTCGATTGCAACAAGGGTCATCACAGCAAATGGATCGAAATGAGCATCTAAGAAGATTTGATAATTCGCCCAGCTTAAACCTTCTGCTGC